CTAAAATTGCTCAAATTTATTGCCATTTCAAAGTTTCTCTTCACTACTGTGCTTGCATTTCAAAGTTTCTACTCAGCTCTGGTCTTTTCATCAGGAATACTTTAAAGTTCATTATTAGACTAAAAGCCTATTTATTTTCCTCCACAGTTACACAGACTCTTACAGGATAATTTATTTTTGGCTGTTAAGTCTTTATTTTTTACATTCTGGAATCCCTCAATTCTCTTTTAGACAATTGTTCCCGTTTTAGGCTGTGATTCCTTAGTGCTTGAATTCTTTCTTTCTGGCTTCTCACATTTCTTTTTTTTTTTTTTTTAAATCTTCAATCTGTGGAAGCTGTGGGTTTTGGCTATAACACTCCTGGTGCTTTTCATTTTGGGATTTCTTCAGGAGGTTAACTGGTACATTCTATTTTCAATTTGCCCTGACAAATCTGGTCTCAGACTAGTTGTATGACCCTGGGCAAGTCACTTAATCTGTTTGCCTTAGTTTCCTTATTTGTAAAATTCGGATAATAATAACACCTACCGTCCCAGGGTTGCTGTGAGGATCAATGAGACAATAGTTGTGAAACACTTAGCATGGTGCCTGGTATATAGTAAGCACTACACAAATATTAGTTATTATTGTTCTAGTAAATCTGAACAATTTTCATTTATAATTTCTTGAAACATGACAATTGAAATTTTGTGTGTGTATGGAGGGGAGGGTCATGACTCTTAGGAAATCTCACGATCCTTAAATTATGTCTCTCTGACCTCTTTTCCAGATCAATTGTTAACAGTAAAGTATGTTACATTTTCTATTTTTGCAATTTAAAAAATTCTGTCCTAATATTTCTTTTTGTCTCAGAATTATTAAAAGTTCTCATAGCTCCATTAATTTTTCATAGAATTAACGACTTGGTTAAGGATGTCCACCCATTCTAAGCTAATTTATTTCCTGATAACTTTTAAAAATTGGAGCTCTTATTTCAAATCTCCCCCAAACCAAGTGAGAATACAAGAAAAATATAATCCATTAGAAACATGAAGAGTCAGTCAAAGCAAATGTTCACACTGGCCATGTCAATAATAAATGTGTTTCATTCTATACTTTGAGTTCTTCATTTTCCTATCAGGAAGTGGGAAGTTGTTTTATTATAAGTCCTCTGGAATCATGTCTGGTCATTATCCTGATAAGAGTTCAGCACAATAGTATTCCACACATTTATATGCCATAACTTGTTTAACTATTCCCCAATTTATGAGCAGTCCTTCAGATTTCCATTCTTTGCTACCCCAAAAAGAATTATAAATATTTTTGCACATCCTTAGAGTTTGCTTTGCTTAGGATTAATCCCTCCCTTAATCTACTCTCCCTCTAATTTTCACCCACCCCACCTCTATTCTCCCTTTTCCCCATTTCTCTGTTGAATGAAATGCATTTCTGCAACCAATACTGTGTTTGTGTATTCTTTCTTATTTTGACCAGTTCAAATGAATTAGGGTTAAGTGTCACCTGCCCTACCCCCACTCCCTCCTCCTTGTTGTATAGACTGTTTCTTTTGTATTCATTTGAGATATTCTCCCCATTCTTTCTCTCCCTTCCCACCTCTCCCAATGTATTCTTCTTCCTTCACCCTTTCCATTCTTCTTTTAAAATCATCAAAACATAACAGAATAATTCCCAGGTCTTCTGCCAAATTAAACTCTGTGACCACTGATGATGATGATAATTCTGAGGGGCTACATGTATCTTCTCCATAGAAAAATGTAAACAGTTTAACCTTGATTATCAGTCCCTTATGATTTCATGCTCATATTTACCTTTTTAAGCTTCTCTTGCCTCCTATGTTTGTAAGTCAAATTTTCTACCTACCTCTGGTCTTCTTATCAGGAATGCTTGGAAGTCCTCTATTCTATTAAAGATCCTTCTGCACCACCCCTGACCCCCATAGCATTTACACTCAGTTTTGCTGGGTGAGTTATTCTTGGCTGTAGCCGAAATCTTTTGCCTTTTAGAATATCATATTCCAAGTTCTCCACTCCTTTATAGTGATGGTGGTTAAATCACGTGGGATTCTAATTGTAGCTCCTTATTACTTGGATTCTTTCTGACTGCTTACAATATTTTTTGTTTGGCTTACAAGCTTTGGATTTTGACTACTATGTTCTTGAGAATTTTCATTTTGGGTTTTCTTTCAGGAGGTGACTTGTACATTTTATTTTCACCTTACTCTCTGATTCCAAGAGACATGGGCAGTTTTCTTTTAAGATTTCTTAAAACTGGATGTCTAGGTGTTTTGGTCATGGTATTCATGATCCAATGATGCTTAAATTTTTTCTCTTTGATCTGTTTTCCCGGTCAGTTGTTTTTGCTATGAGATACTTCACATTTCTTTTATATTTTCAGTCTTTTGATTGTTTTAATATTTGCTGCTGCCTCATAGGGTCAATGGCTTCTATAAGATCCATTCTAATTTTGAGAGTGTTTGTTACTTGGAAAAGGTTTTGTAGCTCTTGTGCATGCTGTTAATTTCCTTTCTAATTCTTTCTTCCATAGCAATCACTTCTTTTCCAATATTTTCTTCAAGCATTCTCATTTCATTTATAAAAACATTCTTCACTCTTTTCAAATCTTGCTTCACTCATCTTTTCCAGGAATTCTAGTTGGATTTTTGCCAAGCTGTGACACAGAACTGGGTAGTAGACAACAAAGCTGCCAATTCACATCTATCCACCTTGAAGTGCCCCAGTAGGGGTCTAAGGCTTCATCTTGGCATTCTCTTAGCCCAATGCAATCCCCAGCATTCACAGACAGTTTTGTCTCTCTCAATATACTAAGTTGCACTGGATAAATGACTCAGTGTGACTTTTTCTGGATTTCCCCATCAGGACTTGGTCTGATTTATCCCCTAGATCTGCTAGAGGAGTTATATCGCTCTCCTCCATCCTATAGACCCAATTAGTCGCCAAATCCTACTGATTCTACTTCCACAACATCTGACCACTTCTCTCTACTATCTATCACCTTAGTTCAGGTCTTTATCACCTTTTACCTATACAATTACAAGGCCCTCTTAATTGGACTCCCTGCTTCAAGTCTCCCCCCACAGCAGCGCAACCTACATATTGATGTTAACGTGATATTCTTTAAGCTCAGATATGACCATATCAGTAGCCTACTCAATAAAGACTCATGGCTCCCTTTTGGCTCTAGAATCAAATATAAACCCTTCTGTTTAGCTTTTAAGGCCCCTTCCAACTAGGTCTTAACCTATCTTTCTAGCTTCGTTATACAAGAGACCCAAAATTGTAATTCAACTAAAATGACCTTCTTTGTATTCCTCACACACATCTCTTCATCTCCCAACTCTGGGCCAGGAATACCCTCCCTTCTCACCTTGATCTCCTAGACTTCCCTCTCCTCCTTCAAGATGCAGCAAATACCACCATCTAAATGAAACTTTTCGTGATCCCAGTTACTAGCACCTTCTTTCCCAAATTGCCTTGAATATTTATTTGTATTTATTCTCTTCATATTTATGTACTTGCACTTCCCCTACACTCCACTCCACTGAAATTGCTCTTCTCCAAGGTAAGAAATTATCTTTTTATTGCTAAACCCAAAGGCCTTTACGCAATCCTCAACCTTCTTTACTTCTCAATTTTGGTCACCCTCTACTTTTTAAAACTGTCTTCTCCATGGCTTTTCAGGACGTTGCTCTGCCAGGGTTCTTTTTCTCCCTGTAAAACCAATCTGTCTCCTTTCTGAGTTTCCGGACTTTAGCTCTCTCTCTCTCTCTCTCCTGGGCACCAATCTTGTATTTTCAACCACCTACTGGACATCTTTAAATGACATCTCAAATCTGACATGTCCCTAAAATTCTTAACTTCTCTATTTCTGAAAAGGACACTAACACTCTCCTGACTACCCAGTTTTACCATCTTGGAACCATCCTCCTCTCTTTATTCTCACTCCTCTTCCCACATATCAAATCAGTTACAAAGTCTTGTTGATTCTACCTCCTGTCTTCTTCTCTTCACTCATACCACAACTACCCTGGTTTAGGCCCTCATTAGCTCTTACCTAGCCTATTGCAATCCCTTCATTTCATCTCCCTCCTCTCTAAAGCATTGGTCTGACCATGTCACTTCCACATTTAAGAAGCTTCAATGGGTTTCCGTTGCCTTTATGATAAAATAAAAACTGCTTCTCTTTTTGGCATTTAAGGCTCTAAAAAATCTGGCTCTAGTCAATCTTTTCAGGCTGATTATACATTGCTCACCTCATATATTCTACACACCATCCAAACTGGCCTACCTGCCACTCCTTTTATGTGACTTTCTATCTACCATCTCCCTGCCTTTGAACAAGAAGTCCCCCATGCATAGAATGCTCTCCCTCCTCACTTCTGGGAACCTTTAAGCTCTCTTCCAAGGCTCAATTCATGTACCATCTATCTGAAGGGGCCTTTTATGATTTCCCCCAGTTTTTAGTTGCTTCTTCGACCCAACATATATACACACACCTTGCCATCAAATTACTTTATATAAATTCTGTATTTCCTTATTTGTAAACATATTAAACATTCATCCCACAGAACACAAACTCCTTAAGGGCTGGGACTGCCTCACTTTTGTATTTGCATTAACATCCACTAGCACAATGCCTAGTACACAGCAGACATTTGCTGACTGATTAATAAAAATAAAGAAGGAATCCTGGATGTTAATAAAAAATGAGAAAAGAAAAAAAAAAGACGAGTTGAAATTTAAGTATCAAATGCATCCAAATATATGTCTTCCTTTATCTGCTACAAAATATGTTTCTATGACTAATGTGGAAATATCTTTAATATGATCATACATGTAGAGCCTATATCAGATTTCATGCCGTCTTCATAGGGGGAAATGGAGGGAGGGGGATTTAGAACTCAAAATCTTATAAAAGCAAATGCTGAAAACTAAAAATAAAATTAATAAAAATTTAAAAATAAAATAAAATGTGTTTCTTACCTTGCAAACTTCTCTTTTGAGAAAACAGATGCAGTTTCCTTCCTAGAAAATATTAGGTAGAAAAGTTGGATACATTAGTTTCTAAATAACAAATCTTTTGACTATACTAAATAATTTTAACCTCTTATTAGATTCCATCTTTTTTTTTAAGTTGGGAAAAAAATATCCATTACAATGGTTTCAATAATATAAATTTATTTTATCCACTAATTGCTAATTAATTACTGCCATTTTACAACATTCAGACATTTGAATCTATGTGCCATCCAGTAAATCACATCACCTCATGAATAACATGAGGGACTTGGACAAAGTGATCCATCTATAAGGTTCTAAAGCTATGTTCTCATGAATTATCTATTTATAGCTTACATTTAAATATTGTTTAATTAGGGAATAAACAGGGGATATTAAATAAATAGGGAAAGTCTATAAGATAGACATTAATACTGTTTTACAACAGCATTATATTATCAACTTGGAATTTGGCATTTTCCAGTCCCCTACTAATTGCAAGAAAAACTTCAAAAATAAACATACATTTTAAAGTATATTGAAGCAAATATGAGCATTACAAAACACACTAATTAGGAAGCGTACTCCATATAAGCTTGGGTAGGAGCCAAATCAAGTATCATAATGCAAAGTGAGTTGCTTTTAAAATATCTGATATATTTTTATTTATAAAATTAGACATTTTACTGTCAATAAGAATGAGTAGTATTTGACCATACTTACTAATATGACTGAAAAGCCACAGCTGCATTTTACTTCATCACAAATTAACAATTTCATCTCTTTTGCATCTGGTTCCCCTCTTTCTTGTTATTATTTCTGAAATAAAGGTACCAATATGAAGAATGTTATCCCTGAAAATGTTTGGCAAAAATGATAATAATAATAATCACTGGTCCTTCATTAAGCTCATAATAATCACAGAACTTAAAAAGTAACTGAAATATTACTGAAATTTCCCTTGGTCACCTTTAAAAATAAAAACATTATGCAAACATTATAAATTGATAGGTGAAAAAAATCAGACTATAAACTCATAAGCAGGGATCACATTTGGCATGTTCACGTGCCTAGTGCAGGGATATAACAAGCTCTTAAAGTCTTCAGTGTGGCTACCCATTGACTGATGATGTCACTTAAAGACCTTTAAGCATTAAACTGACACTCAACTCAATCACTGCCTATGGATAAAAACTGTGTATTTTAAATGGTAAACCTCTCATATTAGATTTGTCTACTCCTGCTAACTTATTTATTTTGCTACCTAACATACAGTATTTCAGAATAACCTTCTTTCCACTGTGGATTTACACGTGCTAAGGTCAAGCTAGCAGATTTTAATTTGCCAAAGCATAACAGAATTAGAAAGGTAAATACACTACAAATAATATATGTACATATATGCACATGAGATACCGTATAGTCAAAAGAAATTTGTTTGAGATTATCCATGAGACTTTTTTCCCTCCTTTAGTTAAATACATGGACTAAAATTTCACTCCTTAAGAGTAAGGGCTGCTTTATTCATCTATGAATCCCAAATAAAACCTAAAGCAGTGCCTTAGCACTTAAAGGAATCATTTCTGCACTTTAAGATTTTCAAAGCAATTTCCTCTCAATAACCCTGTGAAGAGGATAGCAGATATCATAGATAAGTGTTGAGCTTTGAGTTAGAAATCGATCAACCAGAATTTGTCAGGCATCTAATATGTGCCAGCCACTGGGGATAAGACAACAAAAAAAAGAAGAAAAAACCCACCCTCTAGGAGTTTACACTCTATTGGAGACAACAGGCACATAATTAAGTCTATATAATATGACCACAAGGTAAATTCTGAGGATGGATGGGGCACTAGTTGCTGTGGGGATCAAAAAAGGCTTCATGGAGAAAGTGTTGCATACACAGTTTTAAAAGAAAGGAAGGATTGGGGTGGGGGGGGGAGTGTATCCCAGCACAGCTAGGGCAAAAGGCCTGAGTCAGGAGATGGGAGTGTCCTTCCTGTAAGAGTAAGAAACTCTGTCTGGATGGAACAGAGGAATGAGAAGCAGAATGATGAGTAATTGAGGTTGGAAAGGTAGTCAGAATTGGGAAGGACTTTAAAAAACTAAAGAGAAGAGCTTGTATAACAGGCAACCATGGGGGTTTATTGAGGAGAATATGGACTTGTCAGAACTGAACTTTAGGAAAATAACTTTACAAACCCAGTGAAAGTCAGTTCAAAGCCAGGCCTTCCACTTATGAGCCAGGAGAACTAGGGCAAGAAACTTAACCTCTCTCTATAAGCCTTAGGCAACTCTTATCTCTAATTTATTAAATTCTAAGCAAGTTAGCATTTGCAGCTGTAAGAGGAATGCCCACATTTGAAGTTCACACCACTAAAATAAGAAGACGAATATAAGAATAATAACTGACATTTATCTTGGACTTTAGAAAGTACTCTATATAAATACATTCTTTGATAGCAATTCTTTGAGTAGATAAAAATAAATATTTGTTGAATTGTGAATAAAACAGGCAGGAGGGGAACTGAACCTGGTATCTCATGAGGACCCTTAAGAACCTCAAACATCATTTAAGTATAAGTAATATAATTATTTATAAGTGACAGCTAATAGCAGACCAGACTAATTAGCAACCATTGGTCTTTAGTAGTCATTTATGAAGTACATGTTTATTTCCGGTAAATAAACAAAACACAAAGGAAATCTAATGAGGTAACTCCTTTTCCCCAGCCGTCCCCAGATACCCCAGTCAGTCAGCCAATAAATATTTATTAAGCATCTACTATGTGAGAGGCACTGTGCTAAGCACTGGGGATCCAAAAAAGGAATAAAAGTCCCTGCTCTCAAGGTGCTCACAATCTAATGGAGGAGACAACATGCAAATAAACATACACAAATGTAAGCTATATACAGGATAAATAGGAAAAAATTAACATAGAAAAGACATTAGAATTAAGAAGTGTTGGTTAAGGCTTCCTGTAGAATATGGGATTTTAGCTGGGACTTAAAGGAAGTCAGAGAAGCCAGATGAAGAGGGAGAGCATTCCAGGCACAGAAGGTAGCCAAAGAAAATGCTCCTAGCTGAGAGACAAAATGTCTTGTTTGAGGAATAATCAAAGAGGTCAGTGTAACTGGAATGAAGAGTACAGAGCAGGTAGTAAGGTGTAGGAAAACTGGAAAATTAGGAGGGAGCTAGGTAAAGAAGGGTTTTGAATGCCAAATAGAGGATTTTGTATTTGAACCTGGAAGGGACAGGGAGCTATTACAGTTGGGAGGATGCAGGGAGAATGCAGGGAGAGGGGAAGAAGAGGTGGACATGATCTGCTTTGTGCTTTAGGAAACGCTTAAGGAAAATACCTTGGTGGCTGAATGGTGTGGATGGATTGGAGTGGAGAGACCTGAGGCAGGCAGACCCACCACAGGCTGCTGCAATAGTCTAGGAGAGAGGTGATGGAGATCTGCACTCGAGTGGGGGGCAACATCAGGGGAGAGAAGGCGGAGTATTGAAGAGATATTGCAAAGGTGAAATCAATAGCCCTTTACAACAGACTAGATGGGGGGGGCAGCTAGGTGGCACAGTGGATAGAGCACCGGCACTGAAGTCAGGAGGACCTGAGTTCAAATCCGGCCTCAGACCAAACACTTGACACTTACTATCTGTGTGACCCTGGGCAAGTCACTTAACCGCAGTTGCCTAAAAAGTAAAAAAAATAAAATAAAAAAAAAAAAGCAAAAACAGACTAGATGGGGTAAGGAATGTGAGAGATAATGAGAAGTTAAGGATAATTCCTAGGTTGCTGAGCCTAAGGGGATATATTTTAATATCTCTACTATATGGCTAGTTTTAAGTCTTTCCTTCTACTACTTCCATATTTAAATCTACATTAATAGCATCTCCATTCATCAGCACATAAAAGATAACAGTTAAAGAAATCAAAGACATACTGAAATCAGTTGGTCATGTGACCAGCAAGATGGTGTTCTAGACCTTTTTTTTCTCCCTCAGAATTCTAAAAATTCCCCCCCAAATTAGAATAATGCAAAAGAGGTAAAATAACTGCAGCAGTCACTGAACAGCAAGGCAGCAAGATAACTAAAAAGGTACTAACTGACAAATAAACAGCTTAGAACAGGCTAATCCCTAAGGTGCTCACTCAGCAATCCTCTCCTATAGCCCCACGGGCTAGCAGGGTGGCAAAACCTGACCCACGGGCTTTGCTCTAGGATCCAGTCAGCGATTTCCTTGTTGTTGCTTCAGTTGCTGCCAGCACACCCTGCCAGGACTCTCACCCCACCATTCTGTGCCAAAAAGCAGCAGATCTCAACTCAGCCTAATCCCGTGTAGATCAGGGAGGCATAGGAAAAGTCAAGTATTCCCTGCCTGGGGTGCAGGGAATAGGGGCGTGGTAGTGAATGCTGTACCAGGAAAGAAAAAGGAATAACATGCAGTTGGGACAAAGTATATCCCCCTAAAAGTCACAATGGGCAGTCACTACAGGCAGAATTTGGAAAATTCCTGAAAAGTGAATTTCCCAATAGAAGACTATGAGGCCACTTTGAGGCCCAATCCTCTAGGGATCTATCATCAAGGGAGGAGTCAAAGTGTGAACCATAGGAGAATATAAGGGAATAAGACTGGAAACAGTAACACATATATATTAAGTGTGTATTTTGTGCCAGGCACTGTGCTAAATACTGGAGATAAAAAGAAGGGCAACCTTAAAGATAAAATGTGTAGAAATAATCTAAGAATCATAGGTCTTCCAGAAAAACATAATGAAATCAAAAGATTTCATTCATTTCTTCAGGAAATAATTCAAGAAAATTCCCCCAGAAGTAGGAGAAACAGAGTGCAAAATCCAGCTTGAAAATCCACAAGCAGCAGACACAGATAAACCTCAAGCTTAGTTCATCAAAAAAGGTAGTAGAAAAACTTCAGACCTTTAACATCAAACAATCTCTGGCAAATAAGAAAAATTTCTTCACCTATCTTAGAAAACTAGTCCAAATTACTCAAGACCACTGTTTGTGTACATAGAATCAAAGGATGTTTTGGAACAGGAATGCCAAAAAACAAAGATTTGTCTGCAGCTCAAAATCTCCCTAATATTCAACAAAATTGGAACTAATCAATTTATAAAAAAGATGGACACTTTACTAAATAAAGAAATTTAAATCTTTTTTTTCCCCAAAAGAAGCCAAAGCTAGGCAAGTAAATGAAAATATATCAAATAAAAGAAACATGAGAAAACTAAATAAGTAACAGCAAGAAAAGACTATGCAGTGAAATCAATGCTTTCATTATGGATGGTTAGTCAAGGCAATTTTTAAAAACACTCATCTCACTGGCCCTCAATCAAAGAGAAAATATCTATGAGCAAAAGAATCTAAAAGGCAAAGGAGCTAGGGGAGTTTGTTTTAAAAAGTTAGGAGAAAGGACAGAAGGAGAAATAAATTAATATTTCTTGGACTAAAACCCACATTCCTTCATAAGTGAGTCAATATTTGGGGGGGGGGTTGGGGAGGAGGGTGGGAAAGTACAGAGGCAAAATACTCCATCAGAAAATAGAGAGGAGGAACAAGAGGAGTTGCAGAGATAAGAAACTCATTGTTTCTGGAATAGGCTCAAAAGGAGGTAAGGGACTACAGCCTTTTCTGGTATCTAGCCCTGCAATTGTAGATTTTGGGAGAATAGCACAATGAGCAAGGGACCAGGAGTCAGGTACTACTCATGCAAAGCAAATTCTCTGAAAGCACTGAGACATACTTCACATAAAAAGATATATGTGTGAGAGGAACAGGGTGTTTAGGATTGG